CCACTTTACAATGCCTTGGTAAGGCCACACTTGGAATACTGCATCCAGTTTTGGTCACCACGATGTAAAAAAGATGTTGAGACTCTAGAAAGAGTACAGAGAAGAGCAACAAAGATGATCAGGGGACTGGAGGCTAAAACATATAAGGAACGGTTGCTGGAATTGGGTATGTCTAGTTTAATGAAGAGAAGGACGAGGGAGGACATGATAGCAGTCTTCTAGTATCTCAGGGGCTGCCACAAAGAAGAGGGAGTCAAGCTGTTCTCCAAAGCGCCTGAAGGCAGGACAAGAAGCAACGGATGGAAATTAATTAAGGAGAGAAGCAACCTAGAACTAAGGAGAAACTTCCTGACAGTTAGAACAATTAACCAGTGGAATGACCTGCCTCCAGAAGTTGTGGATGCTCCAACACTGGAACTTTAAAGAAGAGACTGGACAGCTATACCTGAAATGGTATAGGGCTTCCTGCCTGAGCAGGGGGTTGGACTAGAAGACCTCCAAGGTCCCTTCCAAATCTTCTATTCTATTCTATTCTACTCTACTCTACTCTACTCTACTCTACTCTACTCTACTCTACTCTACTCTACTCTACTCTACTCTACTCTACTCTACTCCAATATCTATTCTATTCTCCAATATCTATTTATTCTATTCTCCAATATCTATTCTATTCTATTCTATTCTATTCTATTCTATTCTATTCTATTCTATTCTATTCTATTCTATTCTATTCCGTTCGCCTGATGGAAGTGTCTTTGGGCATTCATGACCCATAAGCAGGGGGTTGGACTAGAAGACCTCCAAGGTCCCTTCCAACTCTGTTATTCTATTCTATTCTATTCTATTCTATTCTATTCTATTCTATTCTATTCTATTCTATTCTATTCTATTCTATTCTATTCTATTCACCTGATGGAAGTGTCCTTGGCTATTAACCCACCAAAAGCTTCTTCATGGAGAATCTTCCTTTGGTTCGCCTTCTCCTCGCTGTTCTTGCCTCTTGCCAAGCATATGGCTTGGGAAGGGAAAAAAAACACACCCAAGTGTAGCCTGGAGTTTTAGTTTTGGCATCTAACATAGAGCAATAGAGGCAGTCCTCGCCTTCCGACTACAATTAAGCCCGAGATTTCCATTGCTAAGTGAGATGGCTGTTAAGTGATTCCCCACCCCCCTATTTTACCACCATTCTTGCCACTACTGTTAAATGAATCACTGCTGTTCTTAAATGAATCATGTGGCTGTTTAAGGAAAATCTAGCTTGTCCCCTTGACCTTGCTTGTCAGCAGTGGTGGGTCACATGACCCTGGAACAGGGCAACCGTGGTAAATGCATACCAAGCCCCCCCCCCCCCCCGAGTTTTGGGATGCTGCGATGGTTGTGTGAAAACTGGTCCAGAAGTCAACTTTTTTCAGTGCTGCTGTAACTTCAGTCACCGAATGAGTAGTTGTCGAGTTGCTTCCTTAAAGCAAGTCCTTGCCAGAACAGGTTTTAGGCCTTCGAGCAAAACTATTATAATGCCGCAGACTTGCAAATTGGTTTTCTTGTTACACGCCAATACAGTCTTGGCTTATCGTGGCTTGAAAAGCGTTAACAAGCTGTTACCTGCATTGAATATTTCTAGTGTTTTAAAATCCGTGCAAGAGATGGACTTTCAGGAGGTCAGTTGCTTTTTTTCTTTTTTTTTTCAAATCCTTGTTTAAAAGGGGATTGTATCGCTGTGTCTGCTGTTTGAGAACCTTCTTCAGAGCCGCCTCCCACAGCTGTTTTACCATCTTCGAGAAATTGGAGCCCAACCGTAAGTAAATCTATTTGAAACACAAATAGATTCATTTGAGGCACACAGAGGTGGCTTGATTTCTTTCCCTTCTTTTCACCTTTAAAAAGATCCCGTGTTCTGCTTGCACCCAACGCAGAAGAAGACCTGGGTTCTAGTTTTGTAAAGGCACGTTGGCCAACTTTCTCCACGCCGCATATTTTGCAACGATATCATTTCCTTTGATTTTAAAAGAAAGAAGTCGCTAAATACCCCCCAAAGTTTAGATTTTGCCCCATAAGGGGCACCTTTCTGGAACAGACACATGCAACACATATTTTTATAATAATGAAGAGGATATCTGTGACGGTTGGTAGATCTTATTTGAAGGTGCTCCCTTGGCTATTTTCAGTCTTATAAATAACTGGTTGTTTTCATGTAGAAAACAGCTTCAATTAAT